AACAAAAGAGCAATAATATGCAAGTGCTATAACAAGTCTCAGTTAGCCTAACGCAGTATATATATATATATATATAATACATAAATATTATATCAAATTTCAATGTATGATTTAAAAATACATACTATAATAAAACAACTAACATAACAATTGCAAATTTCAATATGTAAGTGTATTATATGTATTAAATTATATATATAAATATATGAGTGTATGTGTGTATACATAAATAAGTTAATTTATACATTTACATAATTACATTACATAATATTTTAATGCATATTACAAATGTGCTTTTATTAATATACTTTATAATAAAATATTATAATAAATATTAATAAATTTCCAAAATAATAATACAGGCCATTTAAAAACAGTTTTTGGGGGGGGAGACCACTAGCTGATCCGATTAACGGACTAGTCAATTATTAAACAAGTAGTCAACAATCCCTGAGCCATCCCTAACAGAGAGGGGTTAGAGTAAAGAAATAAGGTTCAGTCATTAATGCGTCTAGCCACAGGGTGGATTTAGAGACACTGTCTGCCAGCAGCTGAGACTCAAGGTGTGTGGTCCCTCATCCCTGCCAATGTTTATGGAGCTCTCTGCCATTTCCTTGTGCTCGCATTAAACGTAAGCTTTATTCAGCGAGCACTTCCACGTTAAACAAGGAGAGCCGTAAAAATCTTTTAAAGCCCCAAAAACGACACAGATGCCCACAGCACACACCTTGTTTCCACGCGAGTTGGTTTAACAGGTCCTGCCAGCAACGGAGGCCGCGGGGAAGCGTTCGGCGCAAGAGCCATCTGCTTCACGGATGCCTTCCGTTAAACGATTTTTATAGCCGGTGATCCATGCACAGTCAAACATCGCATTCATATGGTGGTAGGAAATCCCCTCCGTCAACAAGACCATCAATATCCCTCTTCATGAATATAATAAACACCAGACGTGCCGAGCATCAGATTACTAACTACACGACCGCTTGGCTCTGAACCCAGGATGGCAGTTCAATACCGGTACGCTATGGAGCCTTTTAACTAAATGAAGAGAATGCAGGTGAACTGTCAAGTTGGTGCACTTGGCTGGCATACACCTAGATGTCAATGTAATAAAAGCTGTCTGGATTTGGTGACACTCAAGACTAATGCTGTAGAAACGGAGCAGATGGAGGCGGATGAGACCCGCGAGACCCCTACGGTGCCTGCGCTCATCTCTCGTCTCAAGACAGTCTGCTGTTCATGCAGCATCACCAAAATCCAATCAAAAATCAATAACTGCCCAGGGCACAGTGAATCACAGACAAAATGTAATTGAGGCCTTTGGGCAATGAAAAAATCAAAACCTTTTTTTTGTAAGCTATCATTAAAATCTGATGAACAATGTGGGAATCACTGCCATCACATTTAAGAATACTGTGTGTTAAAGCAGTGCAAATTTAGATTTATTGATATAATATTGTAGTTTTTGTTAATATTTTGAATTAGATTTCATTTTTATATTTGGTCTTAATTTTTGTAAAAATTTTAGTCATTTTGTTTCATGTTTTTAATCATTTTTTAAAATGTTTACATAGTTTATATAATTTTTTAGTCTATATACATTTTTCTTTATTATTTTAGTACTTTAAAGGGATCCTATTATGCTCTTTTACAAAGTCTTGATTTTGTTTTGGGGGTGTACTAGAACAGGCTCTCATACTAGGTTGTTCGAAAAACATTTTTCACATATTTTACATTATTACAACACCTCTCTCCCCAGTCTGGAATGTACAGCTCGAATAGTTCCTGTATCAAATGAAAGCCCGCCTTCTGAAATACGAAATGTGCTATGATTGGTTAGCTGGGCCAGTGTGTGCTGCGATTGGTTAGCTGGGCCAGTGTGTGCTGCGATTGGTTAGCTGGGCCAGTGTGTGTTGCCATTGGTTAGCTGGGCCAGTGTGTGTTGCGATTGGTTACAACCAGGTCTTGTCCCATTTGTCGATATTTGTGATATCATAAATCCCGGAAAATATGCGTTGTAGTCCAAATGAGTCGTTCGTTGTAGTTTTTGAAAAGTGATTTCTGTTAAATAAAATATCTCCTTTTGAAGTGGACCTTGAGCTTTGTAACTTTGCAGATCTTTTTTATGCTCAAACAGCAACATTACTGACTAACTAAAGTTGAAAAAGTGAAAAAGCATAATAGTACCCCCTTTAAGGTAAACTAACTGACATTTTTTTTTGTACATTTTTCTTATTTCATTTTAAGCTATAATAACACTGGGTTAAATACAATTTGAGTATCACCCGACAATCACAGAAAATAATGTTATAAAAACTGAACTAAGTAAAACAACATTACATAGACATTTATGTGCATTTACACATATTTCTGTTCATTTTTACAAACTAAGTTTTCTGTAAATTATTTTCTGTGATTTCATTTGGAATATTCTGAAAAAACAAAAGGCTTTGCCTACATGGCAAAAAAAGCACAGAGCATCGTGACGTGTGGTGAGATAATACGTGTAAATACGCAATGTGCATTTGCTAAATAACCGAGAAAATAATCACAAATAAAGGAAATGATACAACCACGGAACAAAAACCAGCATAAAAGCCCAGATCTGATTCCCGTCATACAACATTTGGCCACTAACAGTCAAACTAACAGCCCACATGTCATTTCCTCTGAACAAGCACAGGCAAATGTTGTTTTGGTCAAGTGAATCAGTGGAATCAGCAGCTGTAAGCCTCAGCTCTCAGAGATTTTATCACATTATGTGCATGTTTTTATAAGTGATAGAACTTGTAATCATGAGTTACCTTAAAGAATATCTCACCAGGTTGAGCGAAGCATTGATAGAAGCTTTTTCCGAGATTAAACCACAAAAAATATTAAATAATATTTAAACAGGACTTACTCTGAACGCTGCCGAGCTTCCATGCCATCTGGTAAGAAGAGCTTGATGGTCGACACTATACAGCCATGAGTGACTAAAACAACAAGAGAAACATAAATTAAGGATGTATGACAACAGTGGTTACACAAAATAGCATTATTTTCATAACAAGAAGAATTTAAACAAAGCTACAGGTTATCCTAAGCATAAACAGGTCATAAAAATTTACTAATATGAGGCTGTCTAAGATGCCTTGATCATCAAAAATATCCAGAGACTGATAAGAATTCCTGACGTTCTGATGAGACGCAACCAACTTGTGCCACAACAACGCAAAGACTTAAATGCACAACACTCAAATGTGACAGGAACCAAGTTTCCAAAGAAACTGGAACCTAATTTCAATACCTCACCAGTTAAAATACAGGTCATGTTCATGTTCATGTGTACTTTCGTTTTGTTATGAAGTAATGTTTGCTTTCATTCGTTCTAAAGGGTAAGTTACTTTGCATTTGTATCTGATTGTGAAAGCATCCCATTGCATGTATTTGAGTTATGACACATCCAGAGCAGCAACCGGCCAGCGCTCTTGGGTTTCAAAAGCCATCTCTGCATTACAGCATCAAGTGCAGTATGTAACGGCTGCATTTGTGTAAAAGTGATTCTAGACCCATAACACAAAAAATGTAAACATGCAAGTGTCCTATATTACAATAACAAAAAAAAACAGGGTCCCAAATTAACACTCATCAGCACCAAAAATATTAACAAATGGTTTATGACATTATGTAAGTGACATTATTTTATAAATATACATATATAAAAATCACTTTATATATTTTTATTTATAAACAATTATTATATATTTAAGATTTTATACATTTATATATTTAAGATTTATTAAATATAATATTTAAATTATTTTTTAAAATAATTAAATTTATTTATAAAATAGTATATTTATATTAAATATTCAATATATTGTGTATTTTTAATAATTATAAAGTAGTTAAAATACAATATTTAATATTATGTATGAATAAAATATATTGTAGTACATATCATACATAACATATTAAATATAAATATATATTGATTTTTAAAAAATAAAAAGTATAATATAAATTATACATTTATATTATTTAATTATAAAAAAAAAAATCAAAATCAATACATATTTATATTTAATTATAACAAATAATATGTACATATTATATATAAAAATGATAAAAAAATAAAAATTATGCAGAGTTTTATATCCAGAAAGGAACATTTATATTTACACATCCACACCTGCATTACAGACAAACGCAAAGATGGATCATGTTTCATTCTTGCGGCTAACACTGACTGGCTTTCCTCACCTTTCCGGGTGTTCTCTGTCACATCCACCCCAAACTGAATGATGTCACCGGAGAGCACCTCACAGGGAGGGCTCTCCTCCGACCCCCGGCTCAGACGCTGGCTGTTGATGAAGGTGCCATTGCTGCTTTTGGTGTCCTGGAGATAGAACTGTGAAGAGAGAGGAGACGGAAAGATTACCGATGCGTCAAATACAGCACTACACTGAAGAGTGCAGAACAAATGTCACAGCTGAAAGACAGCGATTGTTAAAAGGAGGAAGTACTCAAGATAAACTTGCATTGACCAAGAGGAGAAACAATCAGACTACATTTAATGCAGTTTATAGAGGTCAACAGTTTCATTGTTACAATACAGGTTATAACACATTCTTAATGCAGAAGAGAAACATAAAACCTATAATTTGACTAGACCGGTAACTAGACACCTCAGTTTTGTTATCGTTTACTATAACTATTAAAAATAGTTTCAAACAGGCAGTAGTGAAACATAAAAAACCTATAATTTAACTAGACTGGTAAAATTGACTAATTTCAGTTTTTGTTCTTGTTTAAAAAAAATAGTATCAAAAAGATTTTTTATTAAATTTAATTAAAATGAAGCCAATATAAAAATAAAATACAAATATTAGATGGAAAAACTCAAAAAACGTTGCTTCAAAAATGTTGCCTTCACTATACAGAAATATAAAAAAAATAAAATAAAAAGACAAAAGCACAAAAGTAAAACTAAAATGAACACTGAAAACAAAAATAAAAGATAATGCAAAATATTAACAAGTACTATAAAATTAGAACTGTTGCTTTTAACTGAAATAAGTTTAAGTACAGAAATTGCAGATACTAAAAAGAAAAAAAAAGTATGCATAAATAAATTTTAATAAGCAAAGAAAAAGGACAGAAGCACATAATAAAATTACTAAAATTAAAATGAAGGCTGAAAATGTAAACAATTGCTCATTGAAAATATTACTAAAAATACATAAAATTAGAACTGTTGTCTTTAACTGAAAAGTTCAAGTGCTAAAATTACTAAAACTTAAATTAAAATAAAAACTACAATAAAAAAAAAAAGAAAAATATTCATAAATAAATACTATAATAGTAAATAAATAAGGCTAAAATAAAACCAGCACCCATCTGACATATGTATTGGCTTCCTATTGTGATCAAACATCACTAATTAAACGTTATCTGACCGAAAGGCAATCAAAAGCAACCTCTACTCATACAAGTTACTGCTGAAAATAACCAATACTGTCCTTAAGTGTTGACCAGGCAAGCTCTCAACTCATTTACTCGCCATGTTCAACATCCCTGATCGGTTTGAGCTACACACCTAATAACAAACAGCCATCAAGGGCGCCAGAGAACTGGCTTTGGAGCTGTCATGAATTGTAATTGTTTCATGTACGCTGTTGAACTCCCTTCATTCAGAATGAATGCTGCTGAATTTACTCTCGGCTGGATGAATAGACTCACTGTCAAACACGACTACAGTATGAGTGACATTCATTATTTCCGCCCAACGCCAGCATCCCACAACGCGTCACATGTGGGCTTCGCTGCTAACAGGTTCACCAGGTTAAGCCACAGGATGCAACCCTCTACATTGCGAGTAAATCACTCGCATATGCGACTAAATCTTCACTCTGGGCGACTAAATGATGTCTAATATTAGCCAATGGCTAATAAATTCTCAGATTTTACTCGCCAGTGTGTGAGTTGGAGGCTGAGTATATGATTAGCACAGATATATTTTCACTCACAGAACACTCTGACTGAGCGCTTAAGAGTTTCACTCTCCGTCAAGCGATCTGTGATATTTTTCAGTTCATTTGAATGGATGCGCAGCGCACCTGTGTTTGTGTATTTGGCGTAACGTAAAATCTAGTGTGAAGGCGCACGACTCGCCATCGGATTCTCTCACACGCGCAAAGAACGAGAGCGAGCGAGAGTTTTACATAACATGCAGAATTGATGCGCTACATGTAAACGATATACTTTGTTGTATTTTCCTGTAAAAATAACGGAGTTCCTTTGGAATTCTTAGCTTTTAAGAACTGCCGGGTTTTCCTGTAGTAGGCGGAACTAATGCGCAAACAACAATCTCATTGGCTGGTGCTCACCTATTCTGTTTGACTGACTGATATTAAGAAAGTACTTTCAGATATTTAAAAAGCTGTACCATTTTACAAACATTATATATATATATATAGTATAGTATTTCAGTATGGCGAGTAAACAAAAAAAAATTTACTAGCCAATGGCGATTCAATTGCCAAGGTGTCCGTAGAGGGTTGGGATGAATGCTGTCTTCTTCAATGCAATGAAATCAAGGTTATGACTTGATAAGGCCCACAAACCTGACATTTTAATTTACATTATGCAACTGATTGGCCATATGATCAAGCAGGAGTTAAGCGCTATCACATCCTCCATCATAGCAGGAGTGAAATGTGATATCTGTGTTTGTTTTACGTGTATTTTGGCATGGAGACTGCATGTCATTGGTGATGCATCTGTTCATAAGCAACCAGCTCATTTGGAGAAAACGCAGATTAGCTCATGTGCATAAAGAATAAGGCTGGTTTAATTCAGAAATACATCTTTATCAAAGCCAAGCAACAGAAACGTAATGCATGCAGAAGCAGAACTGCCTCTGGTTCACGGTTTGATGTCACATATAGCTGGATGCTACATACGGTCCTTCTACTTTTCTAAGTGACTTTAAAAAAACACAGAACTAGTAAGTGTACAAGCAAACGAGAAAGAATGGAGAAGCACAAATGACATAGCATATTCCCTCCTATTTCCTCTTGCTAACGGTTGTGCTGACTGCATTCTGAGGTTATTGTGGTCGCAGATTTTTTTTTTTTTTTTACATTTGTTCAATTTTCTAAAAGCCCATAATGTTAATGTCACTTATGCATAAGCAGGAACTGAGTAAAAATGAGATTAATTAAACTTGATAGGCAGCACTACATGACAGCAACATATAAGAATATAAAAAATATGAACAATTATACTTCAATTAGATATTAACAAACAATATCTACTGATATGTTAAGAATTATTTAATAAACATTAAAATACAGGCACAATTAAAAAATACATATGAATTAGATATGCACTACTGCAGGGATTCCCAAACATTTTGGATAGCGAAACCCCTTTGACATTAAACCCTGACATTGAAGTCAATTAATATTTCAATAATTTAACAACACTTTCACATGTTCAGGCTTCTCTGATGTTGGTTAACAGTCACATGCAGGAAAACAAATAAAGTATGTAATTTTACAGTAATTTTAATTGCCTTTTTTAAATATTTAAAAATAGTTTTTTAAAAATGTATTATTTTGAAAATGTAATTTATTTATTTACATATTAGTGCTGCATTATGTAGTCAGAAAATTATACTTTATCATATATCATGGTTTCAACTGCAATATAATAAACATTCAGGCAAAAAGGCCACAATATTATCATCATTAATAATAATAATATTACTAATAATAATACAATTATTTTATTACAAATATTTTTACTCTATAAAAATATAAAATAATTCAAAAATAATTGTACTTTAATAAGAAATTAGTATTTTATCATTTTATTTTATACCAGTTTAAAACAATACTGTCAGACGAACTTCAATCTACTTTACAACTGTTCTCTCATTTTTTTCACTCAGCCTTACTTGGTAGTGTAAAATACTCAATGTGTGATTCCTAAACTATAATTATAAAGTCAAATGGTAGCAGTTTAGGGAGGAACTTCTGCTCGCCTTCATTTATCAACAGCTGGCGTGTTAAATATTGATTAAATATGCTGGGACACGGCACTAATTCACTTGCTTGTGTCACAGTGACCATCAAGTGGCTACTACACAGGGGGTGAGTGCAATACAGAGAGAGAATGAATGAGCGAGAAAGAGAGCGGGCTGATTTTTCTGTCAGGGATTCGCCCCCACATCCCATCGTCAAAGAGCACATTAGCATTCCTGAAGAGACACGATGCTGCCACCAGCCTTCTGCCTCTAACACAAATCTGATTTGAACTTATTCAGCAGCACATCTCAAACAGATGCCAGTATTCCTGAGATCAGTGTGAAGGTCAGCATTCATCCTATAAGAAATCTCTTTATATTCTACCTAACTGAGTCCATGTGCAGACTGGAACTATTTTGAGTGCAGGTCTTATATAAGCTGTACAGAAAGGCAGTATTACCCTGTGCAAACAAGAGCAGAGAAGATTTGTGCAATTAACACTTCCAACACTGATAATTAAAAGGAATCATGGAAAGGAAGGAGGTGGAACATCAACTTCAGTTCTGCTGGTAGAATGGTTTAAGCAAGACATTTCTACTCTAGTTGGATGGTTATGCCTGTTTAGAGAGTTAGAGTTGTCAAATACAAGACATCTGATATGAATGCTCCTTTATTAAAATTAAATAAGAATGCAATATTAACAAATTCAATTAAAATGTCTTAATGTTTTCAAAAAGTAGCCTTCAACTTTCTCAAAATAAACAATAAGTTTTTACTAAAGTCAATGGGTTTGATATTCTATCAATGTCTGCAAAGAAGTCTTGAATCTCCAAACACTGCAATCATAAGCTATGTTCATATCATCCAAATCCTATTTTCCACATATCCCATTCAAACATATGGTTTCATATTGTCTAAACAGCAAAAAACAAATAAACATACAATAAAAAAACAGTCTGGTTGTTAATGTCTGTATTTTTTCGTAAACTAAAAAAGAAATCATAAAAAAGTCATTACTTCAAAATAAACATTAACTGCAAATAAAATATTAAAAGAGAACAAACTTTTTTTTTTATTTCTGCTAGTTGCAAAGGCATTTTAATGTAGTTTAACTTCAAATACCAAAAACTAAAACAACATAAAAACGAATAAAAACTATATAGACAGAAAAACAAACAAATAAATAGGGATGGCTCGACCACTTTTTCAGAACCGATACCGATACCAAAAATTCTGAGTATCTGCCGATACTTGGGGTGCTCCGATTGATTGGCTACCGATCACTATTGGCCGATAATCACGTTGGGATGATTGATCGGCGGTCTCTAAAAAGGCCAATCTCAAAAAAACTATCTCAAGCTGATGACGCTGCCGTGAG